CCTGCTCTTGCTTCCCCTGTCCCTGTGTTCCTCCTCAGCTATCCGCTGTAACCAGGAGGTGACCAGACTAACTCAACCTTCAGTTTGATTCACTCTTGCTGGATTTACGTCCTTTTTGGTTTTATGTCTTTATATTATCCTGCTGCATAATAACAAAGCAAAGTCTCCTCCAGACCAAGGCAAGCATTTCGGTTAGTGGCATGTTTTCCTCTGCAGCAGCAGCTCGGTGCTGAGCACGGCAGGTCTGGTGTGAGCCCGGCGGCCACCCGCACCAGCGCTGCCTGCTCTTGTGCCTCCGTGCCATCTTCTCAGCTGCCCAAAGAGCTGCAAGGACCCTTTGGAAGGTTTAAATGACCCTCAAAGTTCATTGAAAGTAATTTAGGTTCTCAGAGAGTTTTGACAAGCCATTGTGTTTCCACCGTACTTGGTTCCTGCAGCCCCAGGTACGGCATGGAGTGATACAGCAGCATCACGCCTTGCTGTCTTGGCTGAAGTCGGCAGTACCAAAATCAGGCTGGCCCAGCTGGAGGCAATGTTTGCCTGAGCCTGGGGTGAGGCTCTGGCTTTGTGGTTAACCTCTGTGCCATGATAATGCCCAGGAAGAATCAGTGCAGTATAAATTACAGCATTCGAAATCTGATCAGGATGAATTCATATCGCTGATGGGAGGCCAGAGAGCTCCTGGTTCATGCAAGGGGCAGGCGATTTTGATTCTCAAATCCCGGATAAGTGGCTGCGGCAGAGAAGATGACCAGTGACCACCAGCTCCCTGGCTGGCTGCACATCTGGGTATCACCAAGCACATGACAACAGCAAAGTACCGCACTGCCTACATCGCCTCAGAGAGCTTCAGCTATATGGCTACGAACAAGCAACAAAGCATCAACTTCCTTAATTCTGAGTGCTGGGTCACCTCACCTAGATTTAGACAAGACAAACCTCAGCTAGGAGCCTGGTGGAGCTCCCTCAGGGCGTGAATGAAACCTGCAGACTCTGGGAGCAAATTTTTTCATAGGCAGCTCAGTCTTCCAAGCCCAGGAATCCCTTCCAGATATTTTTCTTCACTATGCAAGCCTTTTCCATCATTTTTCCACTTCATGCCATCTGCTTAGTTTCTGCTGGTTTAGGGGTGTTTTTTATCCTGGGCTACAAAGCTGCCACTACCTGTTAGGAGGAGGGAGTCCGAAGTCTTGTTCCTGGTAAATGGTACTCTGGTACCCGGAGCTTCAGTGGAAACCACTTGCTGGGTCATTGCTATGTGTGCACTGGCTAATTTGCTCTGACTCCTTTAAAAAGATTAATTGATTAGCTTGAAAAATTAACATGATTATAGCTGAATTTTCTTCCATAAGAGAACAAGCCATATTGTATTGCTAATAATAAGGCAGGATAAAAAACTCTACCCAGTTCGGGGTGGCTTTCTCACATTTTATTCACACTTCGAATCTGTTGCCTCACTGAAAAGCTTCACTGAAAAGATGACGAAGTTTAAGCCATTGCTAGTTACAATACATGTGTGGACAAATGCAAACTATTTTTATAGAAACAAAGCTAGATCATTGTTGTTTTGATGTTGATTACTGGGGTGAGTTTCCACTCCAGTCTCCACTCAACCTTGGTACTGTGCAGTGAGCCCGTGCTCTTCTGTTTCTTCTAAGGAGAGCTGCTTCTCTGTCTCACTGCATCACCACCACCAACAGAAAGTGAAAGCTCTGCGAGCTTCTCTAAGCTGTGTGACTTTCAGGACACTCGTCTTTCTCTTTTCCTTTTCTGACTGAGATTTCGCTCTCCTCAAAGTAAGAGGAGGCCAAAAATGGATAAGTTACGCGGCGTGCTGGATTTCTGCATCCGCCACCAGACTGTCCTGGGTTACAGCATTGTGTCCCTGCTGACGGCTGTCAGCGAACACATCTTCTCCTCTGTGGTGTTCAAGTGTCCCTGCAATTCTGGGAACGTGCTCTACGGCTCCGTCTTCCTCATAGCGCCTGCCGTCATCCTCTTTCTGCTTGGCTACATGGTGAACACCAGGACATGGCGCCTGCTGACAGGCAGCTGCCCTGCGGAGAAGTGCGGCAGCTGCAGCTGCAGCCCCTGCAGAACCCTCGCCCGCTACCACTGCGTCCTGGTGCTGGTGACAGCCAGAGCCTTGGTGGCCCCTCTCACCTGGATCGCGGCGGCCCTGCTCACAGCCAGGTTTTACGAGTGTGCGGCCAGCGGACACAGCCTGATAAAGAACTTCATGTGTAAAGACAAAGGACAAGAGTGCCACAAGCAGCTGGTCAAAATACCTTGCGACGAGAAGTTGTCGCAGAACATCACGGGTGAATTCCTCAGCCTTCAGGCACAGTCCCAGGTAAAGCCTCGCCGCTCTTCTCTTTACTCTACGAGCCCCAACGCTGGCTGCTCAATGAGCGGTGATGCCTGCTGGGGACAGTCCTTCTCTCTCACGCTATATGATTACCAAAAGCGCACGATTAGCAAAAATTCATTAGCAAAAAAACACTAACAGAAGGTAATAAGTGTATATTTGTGCTATTTTCTGGTTTTGCGTGTTTGCATGGCAGTTGTTTGGCACTGCTATTTACAAAACCTCTTTCAAAGCTGGGCAGGGAACCAGCCTAGAGACCAGGACTTTCCCCAGCAAGTTTTCTTCTCATTTAACTTAGGCATGGTGTGAGTTCTCTTTTTCCGCTTTTACCCCTCTAAATATCTCCAACTTTTCTAAGTACGCATTAGCTGAGGGGAAGCTGGGGTCACGAATAGAGAGGAAGCTGATGGCTCCTTGCAGTGGAGAACTGGCAAGTGAAACAAATAAGGACAGCTTGTTTGACTATGAATCTCAAAGCTTGAACGTATTAATAATTTCACACATGTATTCTAGAAGAATAGTTAAAATATGTATCTGTCGGGTTAAAGTGTTCTTGTGCTGAAAGCAAACAGCACGATCAAAAAAACAGCACTTGTGGGTGGATTTTTTTGTTTGGAGTGAAATGAAACCCCAAATTTTGGCAGCACTCCAACAAACCGACTGTTACTGATATTGCAACGAAATCTAAAAGAAACAAACTAGTCAAACAAAACCAGAAAAAGCGTGAAAGCATTTTTATTACTGACCATTATTTTTAATATCTGATCTACTTTCAACAAAATTAAGAACCAAAAAGAACACAAACTCATTTTTCTTCAGTACTCAATGTTTTTCACTTGAAAAAGAATCAGCCTGAAGTGGAAGGGGAAGCTGTGAGATCTCTGCCTGCAGCTTCCAGCTAAGTACCACTGGGTACTGGAGGGACCAGCATCTACTAGGACACCTGCTTTAGGTGGGGCCTCTGAGACTTATCTAGGGATGTTAAAATCATGTATAAACCAAGAATGAATTCCCATATTCGACAGTCAAATCAGTGTCCTGCCTACAAAACGTACAGGACACAACTTCTCCTGTGTGCTGTGGCAACTGGCTGTTTTTTGCAGGCTCAGACATCAGGGAGAGCAGGTACTTTCCAAGAGCAGATAAACCACAGTCAGCAGGAGGTCTAATTCGCAGCACCAGAGGTGGACAGGGTGATTCTGCACCCTCCATACCGTAAATCTGACCACAACTGCCAAAACTGCTGGTCAGTATCTTGCCTTTAAAGTTAAGAAAGCTGGATATAACTGAGGAAAGAACTTCACTCCACCTTCTCTTTTTTTGGTATTCATCCTCAGTCCAGCGAGATCAGCTCAGGGGGTGCAGCAGATCTGTAAGGCTGGCTGAATTGTGTGCATGGGATCCTCTCCGCAGTGAGCAGTTACAGGCACGCCAGGGTGTCTTCGCTTACAGTTTTCCTGTCTGCTTCAATGTTAAGTTGTATACTCCTACATATGACCATGCAAAACCACCATTAACCCATCTTTCTCTTTTCCAAGCTGATGGGATGGCTCCTGATAGCCAGCATCGTGATTATAGCACTGATTTCAAAATGTGTCATCCACTGTTACTCCCCGGTTAGCTATCTTCAGCTCAAGTTCTGGAAAATTTACTCAAAAAAGGAACGGGAGCTCTTTGAGATCAAGGCTAAAGAGCATGCAGCCAGGCTGGCAGAAATCAATACGAATTGCTTTTTTGAAGCCACGGACCCAGCACCGTTTCAGACTCCCAGCAATGAAGACTGGTGGAAGATTTCGTTCTTGTATACCCTCAGTTCGCAAGAGCAGTATTACAGCATGATACACAAGTACGTTAACACAAACAGAGGCCAGAGCGTCAGATTCGGGGAAGGAGATCAGATTCCCCCTGTTTTAGGATTTGTGGATGAAACAAGCGCAAGCGAATCAGGGTTTTAATGAAACAAATCCTTGCAACGCTGGCAGTCTTTTAACCCTACTGATATAAGAAGAGTCTTATTCTGTGCTCTTATTGAAATCTATGTGAATTGTATGTAAAAGCTGATAGTTGTAACCCTCAGCAGATTTGTTTTTAAATACACTTTATTACTTTTCCTTAAATACATTTAAATAAATACATCTGTCACAATGGGAGTTTTCATATGTTGTTGTTCATTAAGAAGGGTCACGTGTAAAATAATAAGCATCCACAAAGATGTCAGCACGTACTATATCAAATTATTACCAAACACCTTAAGGGCATTTGGCAGCTGGAGTGACAATACCAAACCTTCGTACCTGGCAGTATCAAAGACACAAAAAGGAATGGAAGTTTTGATCAGAAATTCAGCTCAGTTTATTAGCTCTCATTTGACGATACATCTTGTTCAGTGGAGCCTAGAGCAAGGTCTAGACTAAAATATTTACTTTCAGTCAATTAGTTTCTCAAGGCAAGGACCGTATCTTTTAAAATCTGGGAAGCGATTAGCATTTTGGAGCTACCTGTGCATAACAAAGGAGTCCATCGGAATGACTTCAGCTGCTTATCAGTTTGAATAGCTGAGCAAAAAGATCCCAGCCATTTTACCCCTACGTGCTCAGCAGCTTTAGGTAATAACAGTGAAACTAAAAACTTCCATGGTGGTGAATTTTCTTTACTCCTGCCTGATCTTGATCACCTTTTGCAGCAGGCCTTCTTAATTAGCTCTAGTGCTCATTTCCTGTAATTGTAAAGCTCTTTAATGGAAAAAAATAGGCATTTGAATGCTGCAGGGAAAACACACCAACATTAAACTTCCTGTTTATATTCCATTTTTTTTTTTTTCCTTTTTTTTTTCTGAAAACTACATAATTATTATGGGTTTTGTTTTTTTAAATATAATGTTACATATAGCATTTTGGCCCTGGCATCAGTACCTAAGCTACACCTGGATGTCCCTGCCAAATACCCTATTTAACTTGATCCAGAATGGAGTCCAAGTGCAAATTAGCATGTCTTCAGGGGTTAGGCTTATGCATAACATGGCAGTATAGGTGAAGCTTATATTAACAAACATTTATAGCACAGTTACATACTTAAGGACATTATAAATCCGCAATCCATGTTAGCAAATAATAACATTCTTATCAAAGAACATCTAATTATAAGAAACAAAGATACCAGTTTTGAGTGAAGAATGATAAAGTTCAGTTTTTCTCTGAAAAGTTTTTTTTAGAGAGCATTTTAGAGAGATGAGTCAGATTGTTTGGTCCGGGCTGTCCTTTCACTCCTCCCAGAAATCTTCTCTTTCTAGACAGTAAACTCTAACTTGGAAACTATTCAGACAGACAGAGAGGAATCCCATGAAGTTGTTTGTTACAGTCATTTTCCAAGGAAGAAGGAAGGGAAGAGCCTATTTTATCTAGCTAAATATATCTAGCTTGGAAGCTTCATTCTTATTATAAACTGAAAATATAACATATAAAGGGAAAACAAGATTTAATTCTGTATGTAGAAAAGAATTTTTAAAAGCCTTCATTTTGTCATGGAGTCACTGACTTGCTTGGTGCTCTTCTCCTTCCAAGAAACTTGATGATAATAGAGTAAAAAGTGTCCAATTTGTTACCTGTGCCTCCAGAAAGCATGGTTCCATTAAAAATATTCCATTTTACCTCTCATATTGAAGAGTTCATTTGTTCATTGAGATCAAGAGAAAGATAAATCTAATCTGGGATGTCGTAAATGGGAAGGAAACAGTGTCCTGGCCCTACTGAGATCAGTGCCAAAACGCTCCTTGATGCAGTGGGGCCAGGCTTTACTTTAGAGATATAGTAAAATACTTCAGGATAGACTGAAAGCCTCCAGGAACAAGGCATGCCTTACTTCATTTCCTGATGAGAAGCTGCAGTGAAAACACCCTCAGAATTCGTGTTAATGCTCTCAGCTGCATCTGGGTGGGCTTTTGCCACTTCCCACTCACAGTCACAACTGCCAGGGTCTCGTTAAGTAACAGTGCCTTGGCTTTCCAGGGAAGACACAGAGCCGGCACTTCTAATTAAAATCAATGAGCAAAGGCTTCAAATGGGACTGCAATACATATCTTCAAGTTTTCTGGCAATGACAGCAGTCTATTTTTCACAGATAAAGTGACTTTTGGGGGAAGGAAAAAATTTCTATCTATGTATAAGGATAGAAGCAGATATTTATATATTGGTTTTGTATGCAGTCATGTTTGAATTTTGATTTTTCCTCACCTTTATGTAACACACATATCTTCTGTACGCAGACTTGCACACGGGTGTATGTGCATGCACACACCTACGGTAACTTTTTCTGTCGAGATCTCCACCAGCTAAAAAGCATCTGTCACCACGCTGCAACAGAAGTAAGAGAACCATATCTTACAAAACAAGGACAGTATATGTTCTTCACTTTCAAGATAATAACAAAAAGAGGAGAATATTTGGTTGGTAGGATGTTGCTGGAAAAAGGAAAAATGGCCATTGCCTCGTAAAGAACCTTTTTGTGGTCAGCCACATGTCCATCTCAGCCAGCTGGGCAAACCAGCCAAAACCCCACCGAGGGCTCCTGCACAGGCAGTGAAATCAGGCAAATCCCACAAGACCTTTCAGCCCTGATGATTAAAAAAACCAGTAGGGAAACTTGTTACTGGTTGTAACACGTTGTTACACGTTGTCACTCGTTATTGCATGGTAACTCGTTATTGCAGGTAACAGCATGTTGGACTGAGCCCAAGGCTGGGTAATGAATAACTTAGTTTTTGTTCTGTACAAAGTTGTTCTCTTAAAGCTTCATTACGCTATGCCACCGTACAACACTATTAAGACAAACAAAGGGAGAAAGATTATTGTGAGGATTGCACAGATCTGGTGGGAGTGAACCCCGCTGTCCCTAAGGTAAGAGGTGCCCCTCTCTTAGCAGGATTAAGAGGTAAACAGACTGAGAGAAAAATAGGAGACGAGGGTACAACTCGCAGCGATAAAATCAGAGTTAAATCTGGACTTCACTGAACTGAATTGAGGGTTTGCATTTCGGTTTAAAATAAGCACTTTGGTGAGAAGAAGGTGGGCAGGCTTTGTACTGTGCTAGGACTTTGGTTTTTATCCAACCCTTGCCCAGATATCTTGCATTACACCGGACAACATTAAACCTTTCCTTAACTCAGGTCTCTGCAAGGCTGCTATTTCTCTACTTCCCAGACATGTTGTGGTAACAATTCCACTGCCAAGGGGAAGATGTTGAACAGCCGGTGATGAAGGTCGGGTAAGAACAGACACAATGACCAGCAAACCAAATCTCTGAATTTTTATTCAAGTTTCTTTAGGTGAGTACAGATCCACAGTGACTACACATTAAATATGCCATGCTTTGTTCAGTTTGGTCATAAGATCAGTGCTCTTGAAGAGAAGGCTGACATGAAAAGGCCCATAGCTTGAAGCAACACAAGCATTGCTGCGGTCATCAGAGTGCTGCAGCCTGATGCATGCACGGGGCTGAAGAGGCATGCCAGCAAAACTGCATGTGGGGCCTCAAAGAGCCATAAGGAACCCAACCAGCCTCTGCCATCAGTGAAGCCGCATCCCTCTCTGGTTTCAAAGGGAGCAGGATGTCCGGTGTGGAGGACAATGAATGGCAAATGCATCAAAACAGGCAGCTGACAGCGAGGCACTGCACTCAGCAGTCACAGCGGATGAATTAATTATTCCTAACCACAAACAACCAGAGAAATAAAGCACCTCTTAGCAACCATGCTTTGAAACATTACCAACAAACAAAATGGGAAAAGGTGGTCATGTTTAGCTAAAAACAATTGGTTTCAGAATGAGTATTTTGCATCTGGCGTGCACTAAATGCTGAGATAAAACTGTCAATGAGCTCAAGAGCATGGTTATGTGAGAAGGAAGGACAGGCCATTTTGATCTTTTATACTGATATCTGTGTCATGACAATTAACATTGCTCTGCCCCTCCTGTTTGTTGCCCAGCTCTCTTCGCCTTTCAAATACATGACTGGTGGGGCTGGCTCAGCGAAGCCATTTTTACCCTGCATGCCTTCTTCAGAAAAAAAAGGCGCAAAATATCCCTCAGCAAGAGTTTCTCCCAGTATTTCTTTCACTTATTTCTTTTGTGTTTTCTGTCTTCAGCCTTCCTTAAAAACGTAATTCCTATTTCTGTCACAGCATCGCCCTTCAGCCTGTCCTGGAGGAAGGTAACTTCTGCTGCTAAGTGAACCTAAAAAGAATCAGGTCTGATCAGTTAAGCAAAGGAATGCCCAGTTTTTCCCCCTCCTCCAGTGTAACGGGCTTTTTCTCTCTCTCTTACCACAAGGGGACCCCCTTTCTCAGGTTTCATAAGAAACACATTTCTAGATTGCTTTAAAATATCTTTCCTAACTAAGTTAATAAAAAGGAAGTTTATATATACTGGAGTTTGTATAATACATTACCCTTCATTCCAGTGCTTTGCTTTCTTCCAAGAACCTAAATTGTGTACTTGTTGATTTTGTGACCACAAAATTTCCTGGTCACATACTAATACTGATGATACAATACTTTTGTTAATTAGTCTTATATCATATACTATAATTCTGAGACTGATGTACATACATAATACTTGTACAGCTTTTGTTTTCTTGAAACATAAGATATATGACAAATTAGACATTGACAGAAACATAAAGCAGCCCAGAAGTTATCTCCCAGAAAACGCCACAGAAGCTGTAGAACTCAGTGACTTCCAAATGATGCCCTTTGTTTATTCTTTTGTAAAAGTCTTAAATTTAAGAACAAAATTTGGAATGCCATCTGATACACTTCTGATGCTTTGGTTTTAACATTATACTCATCCACACTTTGTTTTCTCTTTCAGCGGGCACTGCGGTAACCTGAGAATGTTATTTATCTTCATGTATTTGGAAAGAATCAGGGATAGCTATTACTGGTTACAGGCAGGAAAATGCGATAGGCTCAAGGAACAGCGGAGTCGTCCAGCATGCCCCCCTGGCTCCCCACGTTACATGTTAGCTGGCTCCCTGGTCCCACCTGGCTTTTGCACCTGAGTCAGTCACTGAAAAGCCAAGCAGGGACAGTATGGAGGTGAGCCAACCTGCGTGCTTCTCTACCTCTGGATCCAGGATCAGCCTTGTCCTCTTTTATTTAGATATAGACATTTAATCTGAGAGCGATATTAAACACTACTAAATTTCCTTCATTTATCTGAGCAAGTGGTTTTGCTTTCCTGTGCCTCTACATACTAACAAAGAATGGAGAACACAGATGGGCACTTCCTTACCATTTCCAAGGCACCTCGAATCACCCCGCAGAGGACGTTACAGTAGCAAAGTGATGCTCGTTCTGCTGGCAGCTCCTCCACAAAGTCCACTAGCGGATTTTTGTCCAGGATTAAGGAGAATTCATTTCCTGCGGCACTACTGCAGCTCACACTAGGGGTGACCCCCAGGTACATCTTGAAAGCAACCTGCAAAAGGATGAAAGTCTGCTGCTTGAATCTGTTGTGTGCAAACCAGAGGTGAAACTTTAGGATGCAGCATGCCGTAGATCAGCTTTACCCCAGGAAAATAGGGGGAAGGGGCAGACAGGCTGGAAATCAAACTAGATTTGTCTCTTCTGAGATCAGCTTGAGCCAGAGATGCAAATCGGGAGCTATGTGATACTCCAGGGAAGTACAGCAGAAGGCTGCTTATTCTGTCTTTGATGTTCCTACATTTACAACCCCATACAAAGCGGTTTTACTGTTACCACTCGTCTGCTTTCAGTCATGCCACACTCCCCTGGGACCATTAGCATCTATATTAGGTCCTTCATACATTGCCAGCAACTTTGATAATCACAGCTCAAGAACTGCAATTGGTGAGTGTGTGTTTGTACTCTGATCTCCATCTGCAGTCACAAAAAAACAACAACCCACCAAGAATAAGACTGCCAAGCCTCCAAACTTATTTGATTATATAGAGCATTGCTTGCTTTCCTTCTACTACTGATGAATGTTACTGTAAAAGTGCAACATCCGCTCTGCTAGCGGAGGGGTCCCCTGTGAGTGTGTTTCTCCAGACAGTGACATCACGGCATTATCTAGACAGCGCGTACGCAGGCAGGCTAGCGGCAGGCTGTTCTTCCTCCGGAGAGCTCTCCCCTGCTACACCACTACAGACTGCTACGACCGAAGATAAAAGTGTCTTGATTTTTACCTCCTTAGTGAGTATCAAACATGGATGGTTTCCAAACAATCCTGAAATTCTTTATGAACCGGAAAACCGCTTTAGGTTACAGTTTTATGGCACTGCTGACAATGGGAGGTGAACGTGTGTTTTCTCTTGTTGCTTTCAGATGCCCCTGCAGCAATGAAAACTTCAGGTACGGTTTGGTATTTCTCTTCTCCCCAGCTTTTGTTTTGCTAGTTATTGGATATTTCTTGAACAGCAAGACCTGGAAACTCTTTACAGGCTGCTGGGTGAATCCCAGAAAAATATTCCCCAGAGGGAATATCTGCCATTTCTTTTACGTCTTTGGACAAATCACTTTAAATGCTCTGGTAGCCCCAGTAATGTGGCTTTCTGTGGCTTTGCTCAACGGGACTTTTTACGAATGTGCCATGAGTGGCTTGAAAAATCCTGCCTACTTACATGCAATTTGCCACAGCAAATCTGCAAAGTGCTTTGAAGAGCTACACAAGGTAGCCTGTGACAAAAGCTCCATGCCCTTTTCAGAGAGTGACGAACTGAAGCGAACTCTTCAAGCACAGTCCCAGGTAAGAAAAATAAATAAAGAGCATTATGCACTTTGTACTGCCGCTGTGATTTATCTGTGGAAGATCCTGATGTCAGATGCTAAGATAAAATCATTGGTTTCACATAAACAAAGTTTTGACATGATGCAGCCTTGCAAAACACAATCAATCCATCTTTTAGTTCAGTTTGAGCTGTGCCATACTCCCTGGGGGGCCCCACTGATGGCAGGATCAGTAAGACCAGGTAACTGAAAGCTTCCTTCCTGAATGAAGATTGCTCTGAAGAGAAAAAGCTACTGGATTGTTGAGGAGGCTGAATTAACAGATGTCACCCCATTAAAGGGGTCTGTCCTATTAAAAAATCCATACCACACTCTCCTATTTTATACCATCATGATAACTGTAATGAAATCTTAGGTCACTAACAGTAGAAAAATACTGGAAAATAAGATTTGTGGCAGATTTATCACTGCTTATATAATTTGTTTCTGTTTGTGTTCCTCATGTTCATGATGCCAGATGAGAGCATGTTTTTGTCCTGCTTGGAGGAAGGAAGAAACACTAAAATAAACCAAGCAGAACATGCAAAGCTGTGATCGTATTACATTTTACTGTATTAGTGTGATACAGTTCTGCTCACTGCCTGTAACGTAAATAAATTCAGAGACAAAAAATCAAAACAAAAGAAAAAAAAAAAGAAAAAAAGACCACAGAAAATGATGGAAAGATGATTTTTTTTCAGGAAGGAAAAACACTCTGTGGAGCCAGCAAGTATTTGTCAGACAATTGTATCCATCTGGAACCATTTCCTCCCCAAGAGCCGGCTTTATTTCCAAGTCCTCATGCAAATAGGGCTGGAATGCAGACAAGGCCTGCACTGCAGACAAAGCAATTTTAGAAGGAAATAACAAATAGTGCTTAAGACTTGAATTTTGTGTATAGGAAATAGTGAAAGAGTCAGTTTATAGCATGAGAATACATGGGTTCATTCTCCAAGCTGCAAGAAGGTGAAAAGCTGCTAAAAAGGGCAGTTTCTCAAATACCCATAGAAATCATCAATCAGTACAAAGTGACTGGAAAAATAAAAGAAAGCGAAGCTATTCTTCCATACCAGCCCCTAAGAATAATTGTTTGTCAAGCTTCTCTGTTTCACATATTTCCCTGAGGAACCTTTCTATACTCCCTCAGCTAAATACAGATTTTTATATACAGGTGGTTATTTTTTAACAGTGCAAGTGTTCACATGAGAAAGGTTTCAGTTCTCCTTATCATCACCATTAAAATATGGTAAATCAGTTCCAGTTCGTATGGATCTCTGAAACCTAGATTTGTCCACACTGGAATTTGTTCCACTGTTTGAAAACAAGTTTTGGTTTTTTTTGCAAATGTTACACATTGCAGTGAAGTAGGTGGGTAAAACTATTGGCTGCGCCAGCGGCACTAGGCATGAAAATACTGTGTTCACACCTCCACTCTCCTTAGAGGACAACATCCCACAATGACAATTTCAAGCACATTTTTCCACCCTCAGCCCTTGCTCTAATCCTGGAAGTAGCTCTTTCTTTTAAAATGTTCTTAACAGAATTTTATCAAACTCTGAAGTTGCTACAAAAAAGGTTGAGTGATGCTGGAAAAGCATATTTCAGCAAAAAAGTTCTCTGAAAATACAGCAACTATTTCTAATCAGTGTGTAGATGAATTGGGCTCTATTTCAGTGCCAACACAGACCTGCCAATGCACACACTATTTCTCCTTCCTCATGCCCTCTCCTCCCAGCATTCTCACAGGGTTGGGCAAGAAGGTAATTTTAAACTAGTTTTGGCATAAAAATAATTTTCCACTACAAAGGGCTGATTCATCAAAGTCAAAAAAAGTTCATAAGAATAGCGTAGATTTCAGTGAATCTCCTGATTCACCGAACGCTTTTTAAATTTAGGACCATCTTTTATATTCCTGTTAGCTAATTAATGTATTTGTTGGCTTGGGTTTTTTTTAAATTAAAAAAGTCTGCAAAAAAACACATCTAAAATTGGTCACAGTTTAAAAGGTTGATTGATCTGGGACAAAAGTTACTTACCCTTTTTGGTTTTGTAGTTAGTCACAATTCAGAATTGTGTCTTAATCCTAATTCTTGCTAGGTAATTTTATTTAACACTTTCAGGAGATAGAAAACCATTTACCATCCAGTGATTGTACTATTTTATTCTCCCTATGCACTTTTCCCTTTGTGTGGCAGAATTCAGTGAGCAATTCCAATATACTACATGGCAGATGGTTATAGTTTTGCAATAAACTCTCATCAATATCCTCTCTAAATTACCCAGACACTACTCCTGCTCTCAGGTCCGTTCTGTTTTCTCTATAGCTCTATTCAGCCATAGCATTATTTGAGTGATCATTTAGACCTCTCTTAGAGTTTTCTTCATACGCAGTCTTGTAGTTGAAGTCTGATTCGAAATCATCTGTCCTGGAACCTGCCATTGCCGTTGCACTGGACACGTCTCTTCAGCTGTTGTTATCCCAGTTCCCTTTGTTATAAAATGGGACGGGGAGGCAGCCAGACTCTAGTATAAGCCAACTTTTCTTAAGCGTTTTACCTTCACTGTAAAAATCAACCAGCTTTTGCCTTCCTGAGAAAGAGACATCAAAATGAGCGCTATTGAGAAGCCTCAATCCTGACGTCTTCTGCTTCCCTTTGGTCCCCATATGGACGCCCCATTGACACCAACGCCAGGCGCAAAATGCAAACTGGGATGAATCATAGAATCA